CATCTAATAATATCATAATTTTTTTACATTAAATAAATAGATAATACAATGTCCCCACTTTGCCCCATGTTCCCCTACATATATCAGTGGGGCACACGGTGCCCGGCGGAAGGAGGTTAATAGGTCACAAACTCACAGCCCCCTGAAATTCAATGAAATGAAATTCAAATTTAATCCATCAGTTACAATGACCTACTCAATAATTAAATACACTTGACACTTGGCAGCTACAGCACAGCGAAAATATTTGGCCACTTTTTATCATTTTATTTGGTTAAGCGAACTCCAAATTTAACAATATGAGAACATTTGTTTGATAATGTGGATAATTATTTACCTACCTACTAAAGATATTTCGGTAAGAGAAATAAAAAGTCTATGCAAATGAAGAAACTGTACCATGGCAATGAAGTACAAATACTATGGCCTGCTAGCTATATTTAAATATATATTTAAACGTAATAACATCGAAAAAATAGTAATATAATTATTTATGTTACGTAACTGCTCTACAAAAGGTATATTATTATTAATTAATTACTATTATCACCATCGGGTTCTTAAACACTCTGTTGTCGTTATCCACCAGGCACCACTCATTTTTTCCGGTAGGCACATGCAATGCAACGTACACCAAAACGGGTTTTCTCTTGAGCACGTGTGAATTATATAGACATCGTAGCAGACCATTTATTGTTCGACGACCACGACGCAATTATAGTTTGCAAAATGCCTAAAGGTCGTGACCCTTTCTTCTGCTGCTACCGTCTATGGTATATCTGGTCGAAACCTTCCCGCGTCCGTTTTCACACAATTTTCCCACTTCAGTCGTAGATAGTAATTGTTCTAACTATTTTACATAGTTTTCACGAAGCATTATGATCTGCACCCCTCGTACGCCACCTCTTTCAATCTCTTTTTTTAATATTATCCTGTCTTTGAAACAATTATTTGAGTTCACAGTTAGATATTATATCCTCTTTGCCATGCTCTCATGCGGATGTCGACGCATGGGCCAAAGATTCCAATAAGAATTCTCAATCACTTTTAAACTTGTTTCTTAATTGTACCTCCATTACCGTAAGTGACAAAGTTCATTCTGAGGAATATATAGTGGCATAGGCAGATTGGCTGAATCTGTATTTTCAGGTTACCTAACTGATATAGCCATATAGGTGGCTTTTGAGCTCAGTATTGTCTCGAGCTTATATTAGTTATTACTGAGTATATTTTATTATATGTTTATACTAGGTACTATAAATTATAAGAATATTTATTTTATTATTAGTAGTAGTGTGAATTAATTTTTACCAAAAATATCGAATTTATTATGTTATTTTATTATTTAGCGACCAGAACCCGGCTTTTCCGGAATCTTTCTTTTATTTTTTTAATAACATTTAAAAATTTGATAAAATATTAATTTTTAGCATAAGTGATACCAATACCATTTAGTTTTTATGTAAATATATCCCTTATAGGAAATTCTCTGTGTTCTATAATACTTTATTTTTTTGGTTTTATGAATATTTCGTTTGGATGTCATATTTATTCCGCGATATTTGGTAAAAAACAGCGTGATTTTGTTTGATAAAGTAGGTAAGCAAACAGTTTATTATTTAATGTTTATCTTTAAAATACTAAAATTAAAATATGTATTTAAAAAAAAAGTACCTAGGTAATTAGAAAATGTATTATTAATAAAAATATTAAATTTGTTCCAAAAAAAGGTTCTGCTTGTTCCTTTCAAAATTTCAAGGTTTCCTATGGATAATGAGCATCAATTTACATTCAAATTTTACCTCAACCATAGTCCATAGAGCATCTCTTCTGTTGAGCAGTCAATCAATTTTAAATCTTATTATTAATGTCTTTAGTTTTTCCGCATATACGATGATTATTTCACTAACTTCAACAATTCCAACGATAATATCTGTAATATAGGTAAGTATAGGTATATAATGGTTGATTTTTAATTTTTTTTTACAATAGGTAGGTACTTCCTTACTTTTTTCCGTTTTGAACCGACCGCAGAGGAGGGTCTGTTTGCACAATGCTACTCCTATACTTACAACTTACTTATTTATGAGTGTTTACTTATTTACATTTTTTATTTATTTTATTGTTTTAAATATTATCTTCTTCATAACTTTCTTAATTTTTAAACCAAAAATAAAATTTTATTATCAAAAGAAATTGTTTAATTTATCAATATTTAGTTACTACTTAGCCACTTAGGTAGGTACATACCTACTTCTAGTGTATTGAGATTTATTGGTTTTACAATGATGTGTTTTTCATTTTTTTATTTTTATGTCTATGTACACTATAAGAAATCGAAAAAATTTTTTCGATTTTCAACTTCAGTATCTTGTATGATGGGAAAGTGAATATTGTTGTATTGGGGAGGTCAAATTTTAACTTTCAGAAGCACCGTGAGAAACAAAAGAAAAATTAAGGAAAAACGGGAATTTTCACGCAAAATCAATTTTCGTTTTTGGTGTAACTTTAAAACAAATTACCGTAGATACATGATATTTTGACTGAATATTAGCATTTTCTAAACACGATTTTCAAAATATTTTGATTTGTTTTGAACTGTTCATGGATATTTTCGGTTTTATTAGTTTTTTTGTCTATGAATGTCAATAAAACTTAATTGTTGCGTAAAAATGCTTGAAAATTTAATATGATATATAATTATAATACAATATACAATACTTTTTTTTTTACAATGACCTTTTAAAAATATAAAAATCCTTAGACACAGTTTTTTTTTATAAGCATTTAAAGTTCAAATCTTGACAAAATACTGAAAAATCACAAAAATTAGCAATCATTTTGAGTTAAGAATTCATAAAAATTTTTCTTTTTAAATCTAAGATATGAAAATGTAATACAAGATTCCTCATAAGTTAGTAAAAAAAGCTTAAATTTGCTCAATATTGTCGTTTGATTATGCTCAATCGTGTGATGGCCAACATCCTGGTCCAGGGTCCACACACATAAATAAAAGAGACTATACTTTCCCAACATGGAAAAACTACTCCCAAAACTTAGATACAGACATACACTTATAATAAGTATAAAATAACATTCATAAGAAATTATAGGAATAATTGAAAAACAAGATAATTTTTGTAATTTATTACTTGAATATACAATTTTAGATAAATACAATTTTTATTAATATAATAAATTACAATTATTATTGATCTGAATTTTTACTAAAACTTATAATGTACCAATTAAAATATGGTGAACTTTTTAGTTTAGCAGTCTCATTGTTAACTATTTTAAAAAATCTTATCTAAAATGTTTATACATCTTTAATACCTACTAAATTTTGGTAAAAAATGTAGTGCAAATATTATGCAACACACTTAAGCGCTACATGCACAAATTAATAATAATTGTAACTCCATTTTAATTTATGGCAATGTCCTAAAAACACAAAAAAAGGACATAAGAGGTAATATCATAATTAAGTAAGACATAGACAACATATAGTTCAGAATGTATTTATAATCCATTTTTTTTGATTAGGTATACATTTAAAAATAGTTTAATTATATTATAATAATGATGAAAAACAAGTATTAAGACAGATGGAATGGAAATGAAACGTTCAGTCTTCATAGTAAAAATGCGTACGGGTTAACTGCTCTTTGGGACTTTCTACTTAATATAGTTTTTAAGCTTAGAGTCTAACTGACAAAATGTAGGTATTACAAACCCATTGTCATAGGTACCTAACTCATATTTTATTTAGAATTTCATAAGTAGGTATTTATTTTTTTTAGGATTAAGCCTATTAAAGTATTGTACTTACAAAGGTAAGTTTCTATATACCTACCTAAATCATTAAGATTCAGCTATTTTAGAATAACCTATGTTAACTGTAACTTTATTGTATTTTAAATAAAATAAAAAAATACATACTTGTTCCTAATAAAATTAATTAAAATAATGTTAAAATAACTTTGAAGTTAAAATAAATATAACATTTTTTTTTTATACATAGGTATCAATACGATAAAGAGAAGATTTTATTTGTAATTTATTGCAAAGTTATACTTATACAAGTGTTGTACCTAACGAATTCCCATTAATCAATTTTTGATATCGTGTTGTAATTTCAAAATGTATAACCGTATATACTTAACATTTATACCAAATATTCATATTATAATTTTTCACACATGGTGAAATTTTACAAACTATTTTGACTTGTTTTGAGCTATTTACATGCAACATGTTTATATTCAGTATATAATCATATTGTGTATTCACCAATTGACCACCAAGCCACACAGACGGATTAGAAGATACATCCAAGTATTTTGCTGGTAATACATTTTACAAATTATGTGTGCAAGCATTCATGGTTTCAAAAAGTCTTCTATTAATTTCAGTTGGCTGAAACTCAATATTTGGAAAATGTGCTGCAAAATATGATATATGCAGAAGATATTTCCAATAAGCTACCACCAGATGGGTCCATACATTTTTTCAGAGATGATAAGATTGATTCTTTATTACGTTCAGGGGCATGTTCATGAAACATCTATACATATGACACATACAAAAAATACGTGCTATACAATTTAATAAAATAAATATATTGTATATTAAGTATCCAAATTACTAATCTATTAAAATTAGATGTCTAAAAGATAAAATTATAAAATAATCTCATACAAAAAATGTATTTATTGAACAAAAATAATTTTTACTATGTATTTTTTATACCTGATTAATCAATAAAATATTGGCTTATTTATTCAAAAAGAAAAATAATTATTTTCCTTAAAAATTTAAAACCAATTTCATTAATACATAATATTAGGTATATATTAACTAATAAGATATATATCTAAAACCATATTTAGAAAATATAAAAGTAAATACAATATTATTTTTTATTATAATAAACTCCGGAAAATGTTAGTTAAAATAAAATAATACAAATTTTCATTTACAATACATCAATAAATATTTTACATTTTGGGTCTTTTGGGAACCCCAGTTAAAAGATTAACACTCTTTTCTCTTTTCATTGAAGGGTTCTTATTTGATCCAGGCACATTGCTGTCTTGTAACCATCTAACTTGTGTAGCTGGTCCATACCCCTTTTCATTTTTAGCAGCAATTCGAAATATTATAGCAGGTTTATTAGTTCTATCGATCAGCGCTGCTCCGAGTGACTCATGACTGACTACAGCAGCATTATGAGGTCCACAATACACACGAACAAAATTTAAATTTGTTGAAGTTGGTTTTGGACTTTGGTGAGGTACATCCTTAGGATTTTTAATGGCCAAACAAACTGAATATTCTAAAATCTTACCAGAACTAGTAGGAGGGGCTTCCCATGTTAAGCTAGCACCATCTGGTGCTTTTGTAATTTTTATAGCTGATGGAGCACCTGGATAACCTGGTAAACAGGTCTTAAATGCAGATATTTCACTCCATTCTCCACGGCCACAAGTATTTATAGCAGCTATACGGAGTTTGTAAGCTGTCCCTGGTTGAATATCAATTTTTAATTTATGTGTATAATCTGGTAAATGATCTAAGCTAGTATTCTCATGTTCATCAGTAGTAGAAGTCGAGTAAAATTGTTTCACCAAACAAGTAGTACCTTTAATTACACCAACATCACACCATGCTGGTCCTTCATGTTTAACTGGTACAATCGGCTGTACAGCTTTTGATATTACGCTTTCTGCAGTTCCATTAGTAGGAGGTGCCTGGTTTAAAGCAGCAGTTGCTAATGTTGATAATGCATCAGCAATATCATTTTCTGATTTTTTCTCTTCTTTCTGATCTGCTTTATCAACCTTGCATAAGGTATTTTCAAGATTTTCAATTTTAATTTGGTCTTCACTTTTTGTAAACTCTGATTTAATTTCAAGTAGAGCAGGTCCAACATTTTGAGATGGTTCATCAGTTAAAAACTCAGATAATTCTCTCATAACCAAGTCTTTCAATTCTGAATCTTTCATACTTAACACTGATTGTTGATCTAAATCAACTACGTTATCTTCAAGTTTGATATCATTATTCAGGGCCGAATCAGTGACAGGAATAACTTGTTGACTTTCTTTTATTAAACTATCTTGACTAACTGGAACAATTTGATCTTGAGTGGGTTCAATTAAATTATCTTGAGTAGGAACTGCAGATTCCACATCTGATGTTGATAATAGTTGATCTGATACTGGTGTAGGCTTATCAACAACACTGTCTTGCTGTATTGGATCGCTAACAACAATTGTAGTGTCTTCAACTTTTTCAATGTCTCCCAATGTTTTTTCAGGAACTGTTTCTATTTTTTCAGCCTCTTTGTCCTTATCAGTATCCTCAATGGATATTTGTTCTGGTTCTGATTCAGTTATTGATTCCTTGTTTTCTTCATCAACTGTAGGAGGTTCTACTTTTTTTATTTCTTCAGTAGCTGATTGATCAGAATTAATAATTTCAGGTTTAATTGTTTCTGTTTTACCAGAATTATCAATGACATCTTTATCGTCCATGGTCTGAAGTATATATAAATAAAATATCTGTAAATTCTAAAAAAAAAAAAAATGGAAACATTATAGTATTAATTAGTTTGTTTGTATAGTTCTATACTAAATAAATAGTAATAGTCAAATAATTATGAACTATATAAATTTAAATAAAATTAGTTAACAACTTATACATTTTAATACCTATTACTAATAAGTAGGGCTAGGATTTATATGTAATAAATCATTTTAAAACATGTATTTTAATTATCTATCAATATAGTTTTTTTTCTACAAATATTTAATAATTCTCCCCCCTCTAAAAGGAATTTTTGATTTGTAAGAATTATTTTATCAAGAAAAGTATATTTAAAACAATTAGCTATCAAAAAATAAATGTATATATTAATCAAACAATTTTAATCATTGACAGATTTTGCCAATACAATATATCATGGTAACAGAATTTAATCTTTTCTCATAATTTCGTAAGTAAAAACAAAACCAAAGTGAAACTTTAATTTCGAGAGATGATGATATTTTAGTAATTTGTAACACTGACTTATATTGATTTCAATGATTTAAAGGCAGAACTAAAACTATTTGAGAAAATGATCAACTAATAATACTGAAAATTTTGAAGCATTAATCTAATAAAATTAAAAAAATATATATAACATAATACATAAAATATTTTTAAAAATATAATAATAATAAAAACCTAACTAAAGTTTATAATTTATATGTGTATATTAAATTAACAATCCTAAATGTTTTTTGTCAATAATTATTCCAAAACTAGTTTCTACACTGAGTAGTCTTCTATAATGATGATTAATGAGAAAAGTATCTAAACAATTATAATTATTAATAATTTATATATAAATTATTGCTTCACTAGTCCTTTTTATGTCCTAAAAATGTCCAAGAAAATGACCAAGATTCTTGTAATTTTAATAATATATAATATTATATAGGCTAAGTAGTAAACAATCCAAATTGTTGAGAATCATTGCTTCGTATGTTTATGTGGCCAGTGGCGTAGTCAGGGTGTTTACCCCCCCCCCCCCCATTGACAATTCCCCCTTAATAAATGTATTGTTTATAGGGTTCAGGACGGCTTGCATGTTTTTTTGTTGTGGTCGTCGATTATTTTAGATAAGTTATAAATTTGTTTTATGAAATGGCAAAATTAAATACAAAGTTTGCTTTGCATGTATTTGTATATTTTATCATATTTTAGGAAAAGTGCACATTTGGGCGAATTTTAGCATATTTGTGCATATTTCACATTTTTTAACTTAAATTTACCTAGGTACATACAATTGTTGGGAAAAATCATATTTGGATAACATTAAAAATATCTTAAAAAATATTATGTTTGGTTATGTACTGCAATTGGCGCTAATATTAATCAATATAGGTTTATAGGTTTATAGGTACCTACCTATATTCGAATTAGTAAACCAGTGTATAAATTATTTTTATCATGTTTATATATACCTACTTATTTTTTAGTTTTTATTACCAAAATTGAAAATTGTAATATGTTTTATGCATTTTTCAAAAATAATATAAAAATGTAACTGCATATATTTAAGCATATTTTGACAATTTTGACTGCAACAAGTCAAGTCCCAAACCCTAAATTTATTTATATAAAAAAACTGTAAAAACTTGGTTTTAATGTCTACTTATTACAACACCCCCCCCCCCCTAATTTCATAAACCTCGCTACACCACTATATGTGGCAGCATCTACGCCAAATTATCAAACAGACACTGTATATTACAATACAAAACTTATAACAATGATTACCAAATTGTGGCATGCAGGTCACATGCAACCCATGGACGAACTATACAGATTTAAACAAGTAATAATTATAATATAGACAGTGGCGCGAACACATACTTTAAGTAGTTTAATTTAACTGTCTTGATCATTGGTTGGGTTGGTGGGTAAAATAATAAGAGTACACTTCCGAGCAGTGGCGCAACTAGACACTTGGGGGCCCTAATGTCAAATATAAAATGGGGCCCCTATAAGCAAAAAATGTAAATGGGCTTAAACAATCAAAGGTAGACGGTACACCGCTTCCTCCACACCCATAAGGTTATCAAAACCTTTCCATTGTTAATTATATAAAGCGAGAAATGGAAATTTTTGTTACGGATTTGCTCCGAAAATGCATGACCGATTTAGCTGATTATTTTTTTGATGTGTTCGTAATTAATAAAGGTTAATTTGAAAATCTGGATCTACAAAACGCTCTACGTGATATTGAGAGATACAATAGTAGAGAATATCAACTCTTGATAGTTAATATATTTATATATAGCACATATAATCTAATGCAATTCAGATGTACCAATATAAAATATATATTGAAGTAAAGGGTAGGTATTTTTTTATATAGGTACCTATCATCTTTGCCTACAGTTCTATCATATAATATTATGACCTATTTCTATTGACCTTGAATAATTTCTAATTTTTCTTTATTTCTAGAAAATAGCAATATCACATAAAAAATTAATTAATTAATACATTTTATAGTTTCATCAAATAAAAATCAATTAATTAACTAGGTGGTACATTATTTAGTAATTTATTGTTTTAGCATAATATATGTAACTTATCTGTTTCATGATTCTTAAAAATGTATATACAATTTAAAAAAAAGTAGGTAGGTACTTGTTAACGTTAACTTAAACATTTAATGTATATAAAAATAATATCATATTTTTGAAAATGTATACAAAACAAAATATATTATTATAAGATAAATTGATAATGTTATTAATTAATGTAATTTAGTCTATAGAGTTTAATGAACATTGAACATTGGTAGTAAACACTATAAACACTATAAAATAAAAAAGTTAATTACCTATATCTGGTAACTTTCTTTGATAATTTTATTTTAAAAAGTTAACTTTTCTGGCTTTAGAATTTGCAAATGTATTTATTACATCGTCCAACTTTATTTTTGCAGCAACATCTTTTGCGATTAACTCGCAACTAGTTAATAGCTGGTATTCTCCAGTATTAAAATATTAAATAATATAAAAATGCGTCTATGCCACTATGTCAACTTTATTAAATATACGAATTACGAGTTCACTAAACAATACGGATTTCCGATTGGTGAACAAATAACGAAAATAATAAATATTGAATGGGCCCATCGCCCATGAGTATTATTATTAACAACTAATAAGTTATAAGAATAGCTATAAATACTAAATAGTAACCGTCTCCACTCGGCCACTCCACCAAATATCTGCTATATAGCTCGTCAATAGTTCATTGTTTATTATTGGAGTTGCGAAAACGAATTTATATTTATAGGAGGACAATTATTTAGAACACATTCTTGGCCCCCATTTATTATTTAGCCATGTTAATGATTTTATAATATTATAAAATGTGAAAAAATACTAAAAACCTATTTTCATTATGGGGGCCCCCGATAAATCGGGGGCCCCAAAGTCTCACTTTGCTAACTTACCCGCTAGTTGCGCCACTGCTTCCGAGTATTTTTGCTATAATTGTATTAAGAACTGTAATGTCATTAAAATATCAAATTAGTTAAGCTCGTTTAAAGTGGTGTGTGGGTGAGTCAGTCAAATTATTTGGACTGCCAGTCTCAATTTCATTCAGCGCCGTAGTCAAAAAAATATTCATATCCAATATAGTAAGTGACACATAATATACGTCATAAATCATATCAAAAACGTATTCGATTACAAACATAATATATTTTATGATACTAAAACTAGTAAAACATCCTGTATAAGTCTACCTAACATAACTCACAAATTTGAGAGTAATGGGTTTAAATTTTGTACTAGTAATTTTTAAGTAAACAATATATTATTACCTTGATTAAATAGATTCAAATGTAAATATAATTTGTTTTATCAAACAAACAAATAACGAAACGTAGATCACTAAATTATACTATTAACATCGAAAACATTGACTCAAAGAAATCTAAAATTTAGAATACTAATACTATATTATAGAATCTGAATTCTGATTTCTGAAATAATGATAAATGACAATTGATAAATAGTAAACAACTTTTATCATGGAAGATATTAAATTTCACTAATCAAGAAAATTCTAACAATTCTATTGTTATTACAAGACGTATAGGTATTTATTATTTAAAAATGTATAATTATAATAATTCTAGCAAACGGTTTAGAAAAATTTTAATAATTATTAATTTTTTCGCAGTTTTTTCGGATCACTACCTTTTATTCCATGAAATAGTCGTTTACAAAATATGCAATGTAGACCACAAATTTGTTATAAAATTTGTTATAGATTTAATTTTTAAATCCGGAGAGAAACGTCGTATTTGTAAAGGATCATTACCTCTTGTTCCACAATTTTTTTTTTCTAAGTCAACATAACTTATTCCAACGATATTAATATTTTTTCTATTTACATATTTTATTTCAATGTTTGTTCGTCAAAACAGATATTTCGTCCATAAAATATTTCTTCTAATGACATCTTTTCATATAATTTTTTTTTTAAATTGATCGTAAGCCTGGCAACTATGGCCAGGCTGTATGGTTTTTTTGGACGTTGTAATGTCGGTAGGGGGGGGGACATGTGTGTGTTGGGTTTTTGGCAAAATTTTCAATCGATCTAGCGTCGAACCGACGTCTTAGACCGCTCGGCCACCTCGTCCCCCTTCATATAATTTATTATACATATTCCCACATAAATAGTCTTAGAGTAAAGACAAGCTCGGATATGGAGGGGGGAGACAAGTCATAATTTTTCTGGAAATTTCAATGATTTTTTTGTTGCAATTTTGTTTTTAACTGTATAATATTGTTTATAAATACAGCTTGGGGGCACCTGGTGGCCGGTGGGTAGTACGTTTCCTACACAGGCCTGATACTTACTAGTTCTATGATTTCCTATAATATAAGGATACCTAATTGATATATTACTACTATGTATTGGCCCCGAACCCAAAATTATCTTAATCCAGGCTTGA